AAAATGCCAAAAGGAAAAAAAACCCCAACAACCCTCACATTTGGAGCCTTGCATCTGGAAGCCTTTTTCTCCCCTTAGGAAATATTTGTGGCTCTTTGTTCCTGTCAAGGAGGAAAACGTGCTTGTAAATTTCACCCAAGAGAAAGCATATCTTTGCATCCACCACATCAGGAAGGAATAGATACAATCCCACAAACATATGCCAAAGTCTCCAGAAATTTGACCAAAGGCTGGTGGTGGGAGGGGGAGGAGGGGTGGAATTATGCAAGAAAAGCAACCCAGCCTGGCAGAAAATTTCAGCGAGGAAGTTGTCTGTGCCAACCTTGGTCTCAAAGAAAAATACTCACCCTCTTAAAGCTGCTAAGATGGCAAGGAAGGCAGTGCCTTCACTGGCCATCCAGACCTCCCTGGACAAAAGGATGCCTCCAAGAGAAGCCAAAGCAAACGTCCCCCTACACAATGGACATACGCCTATATGCACAGAGGCCAGTCCTGTGTGTCAGGCAGTTGCTTGCAGTGTGAAAGGAGCCAGGGAGATCATCCCAAAGTTTCTCCGACCGCCTATTTCTGGGTGCCTGAGATTCAACCATTATTGCTTCTTTCCTTTATAGTCAGCATTATACTCACCCTAAAATTTCCTTACAATGTTTACTAACCCTAGGGTAGGGGGGCACTGTAGAATTTCACCCAAGCTCTTTTCTACCAAAAGCTGAGTTTTTGCTCCTAGCACAGAGACCCCTGAGGCCCAAATGAGAAAGGGTGATTTTTAAGCAAGTGCATCCTTTGTTCCTGCTGCCCACTCTTCCTTCTTCCTACTTCATGAGAGGGGTGTGAATTGTTTTTACACAACACAGAGTAATTTAGTCTCCAGGTGAGGCGGATGGGAAGAACTGAGATTAGACAGTTTATTCTCTGCGTTGTTTGCTTTCCGACTGTGAGAATGGGCTCCCCTGGAATTCCTTAGAGCTGCCCCACCATGACTGGAATCCAAGACTGTCAAAGTCTTTTTTGCCCGCCAAAATGGGGGCAAAACCACTTCTTGAATGGGGGCGTCTGGATACTAACTGTCGCCTTATCAGTTAGGGACAGAGTCGCACCTGGGATTTGGGAGCGTGCCAATCACTCTGCATATTTTAAATGCCCTCCCTCGCAACCTCTACAATTATAATACTTTATACTTAAAAGTTTCCTGAGGTGAAACCCTGTACTTCAACCAGAAGTCTCAAGGGAAGCCTTTATTGCATTAGTCTTAAAAAACCACTCTTATGATTCATTAAATGTTACCTTGAATATTTAATTCCTACCATACATAATTTTTTAAAAGATTTTATTTATTTGGTAGAGATAGAGAGAGGGAGAGCACCAGCAGGGGGAGCGGCAGGCAGAGGGAGAGGAAGAATCAGGCTCCCCGCTGAGGAAGGAGCCTGACGTGGGGCTCGATCCCAGAACCCTGGGATCATGACCTGAGCCGAAGGCAGCTGCTTAATCAACTGAGCCACCCAGGCGCCCCCCTACCATACATAATTTTAACCATCCCTTCAAAACAATTTGTTTTCTTTTTTTAAAAAAGATTTTATTTATTTGAGAGAGAAAGCAAGAGAGCATGAGTGGTGGGGAGGGGCAGAGGGAGAGTCTGACAAGCAGACTCCCTACTGAGTGCAGAGCCCAGCATAGGGCTCCATCTCAGGACCCTGAGATCATGACCTGAGCCGAAGGCAGACGCTTAACCAACTGAGCCACCCAGGTGCCCCAAAACAACTTGTTTTCATTACCAGGCTTAACGATCGTCTCCTCTTGCCAGAATCACACTGGCCCTTTGAAGGAAATTTTGAATATTACCTCAGCAATACGAAAAAGAGCTCAGCAGTTAAAGGTGAACTGGCGAGCCTCTGCTTTGTTGGTTCTGCGTAGCTCAGACTTGGGGTTGAGGCCTGTCCATGTGAGACAGGTGCACACACCCACACCTCATGGAGTTGTAAGCTGGGAAGTCTGAGTGGCACTGATTCATACTTCCTGGCTTGTATTTCGGCTTCTGAGGCTCCTGACCTCAGGTTTCTGCAGCGTGCCAAGCAGGAACTATCTCTGACATCAAGCTGGGAATGGCAGTGGAACATTTGAAAAGCATCTGGGACGCTTGAGAAAACCTCCCTCTGCACTGTGTCTTTGGCCCCATTTGCCTCCTTCAGTCTTCTCTTCCTGTCTCCTGGGACATCTTCCTCCCTCCTGAGGTACTTCCACTGGCCTCTACTGGTGCCCCCCCGCCACCGGCTACACACACTGTGTCCCATAGTCTTTAGAGACCACTCCTCTTGCCTCAACCGCCCGCCCCTTCCCCTTTCCCCACCCTTGCCCCCAACTCAACTTTTGTTCTGGTTCTTCCTTGCAAGCAATATTATAATAACTAATATTTTTTGGCACTTGTGGTTTACAAAATGTAGATAATTATGTGGACACAAACAACCCGGTCAGGATGGTATAATTATCTATGTTGGGCATAAAAACAAATGTAAGGCTCAGAGGGCCAGTGGCTTGTTCAGGTTGCAGAATCATTGATGGATTCATGTCACTCTGTTCTTCCTGTTGGGTTCCCACCACCAATCGTGCAGGCTCTGTGACCACGCAGGCTATGGCATCTTCTCTCCATTATGCTACCCAGGCTTCCCAATGTCCAAAAAGACTTGAGAAAGCTTCTTTCTTGGGCTCCATTTTCTGAAGTCCATATATACATGTACTTCATGGATTGTACGAATCCATGATTCACGGATACTTGGATTCATCTAAGTATCGATGTCATCTCACGTTTCTTAATCTTCCCATGACAGCCTTACTCCTACTATAGATAATCCAGTATCTCCTCAGTCATTTTTAGGCTATTGTATTCCTTAGAGAAGGTAGCTTCTGGGCCAAGGTGAGGGCTTAGATTGGGTGGGGTGAATGGGCCACGTGGGTTCCGATTTTGAACAAGGCCTCACTTTGGGCTCGTCTGTAGGCATAAGGGCAAAAGAGTCTCCTTGATGCAGATGCCTGGGAGGGAGGTGGGGAGAAGGATGGGGAAGGAATCCTGGGACCTTTTTCCAGTCTGAGCATGGAGAATAGGGGCTGGGAGCAGCTGTTGAGGGCCTTGCCTTCCCAAGTAGCTTCCCGAGACTCATGATTCAAGTAATGCTGGGTCGGGTCCTGGCTGGAAGGATGTAAGGGAGAAGTGTGGAGAAAGGCATCTCCGAATTTTGATGCAAAGAGCCAGCCTTCTTGCAGAGGGAAACTTAAAGAAGGCCCAGCTCATTTGTACCTTTAAGGGAAGCAGCAGGAAGGGGCATGAAAGCAGTTCTCCCTCAGGAGAGCAGGAGTCTCTCTGAATTCTGGAGGCCTGAGAGGGATACCCAAGAGAGGCATCCCAGACTCCCACAAAAATAACTTGGGGCCTCCTTCAGGTGGGGAAAGACCTAGGTCTTCCAGCTCTATCGGAAGGAGCTATCAATGGTAATATGACAATATGGACCACTATTATCCTCATGAGCCAGCTCTTGGGATGCTGAGGTACAAATACGGAAGAATCTCAACATAAATTTTGGCTAACCTTCCACTTTTTCATAAACGCTATAGCAACTGCACGGTCCCAATTACTGTTTTTTTGGGAAAAAAAAAAGTATTTGTCCACATAATACAGCAGTTGCAGGTAAATGTTCCTTTAGAATGACTTCCCATCATAGACTGCCAGCTTTCTCAGCACCCTCAGGCAAATGGTGGAGCAGTGTGTGGGCCAGCCCACCCTCTCCTGCCCCTGGCCTTGTAACCTCTGACAAAGTCCCCTGTGGAACAGAGGCACTTAGGCAGCAGGCGGCACTTGGCTCCTCCCGTAGAGAATTGAGACAAAGAAAACGAGGGGAAAGTGAATTTTCTACTAGTGTATTTCCTCATTCTTTTTCTTCATGGAGGCTGTCTGTTCAGCCCGAAGACATGGCTGTGTGAAAGAGCAGATGCACTGGAGCTCAGCCAACGGGATTGAAGTCCTCCCCCAGAAGTACCACAGGGGATGGTGGGCAAGTTTCTTAAACACTGTGGAGGGCTGACCAATGGGTAGACAGATGGCTCTAACCGTGGAGGGTAGGGCCACATCCCCACTAAGAACTCTGGGCTCAGACCCCTCCGGTGTGAATCCCAGCTCTACTCCTGTGTGACCTGGGGCCAGGTATTTAACCTCTGGGAACCGTGGCTTTCTCACCTGCAAATTGAGGAGTATGTGACTACCTCATAAGGTTGGTATGAGAAGGAAATGAGGAAAACATAGACAAGATCCATTGCTCCTGGCACATTTCATGCACTCAATAAATGTCACGCATTCATAGTAACTGTGGATGTTTTTGATGCACTTGTGTTTATTGATACCTGCATTATTTTTAAATGAGTATTCATCATCCTTTAGTTACAAGTTGTTTTTTTGGTCTGAGGATTCTTATCTTTGGCTGATCTAAGACCCCCCACTCCTAAACTCATTTTTGACTTAAGGGGTCTCTGCTTTGTGCTTTTTGTGTGAGGACATCTCTTACAGTACTTATCACAGGGCATTTGAATGGTCTTTTTGTCTCTTGCACTAAATTCTGGATTGCTGGGGCACCTGGGTGGCTCAGCCTGTTAAGAGGACAACTCTTGATTTGGGCTCAGGTCGTGATCTCAGGATCCTGGGATGGAGCCCCCGCTGTGGTTGGTCCAGCTCTCCCTCAGCGGGTAGTCTGCTTGGGATTCTCTCCCTCTCCCTCTGCCCCCCTCCCTCACCCCACTCATGCACTCTCTTCTCTCTCAAATAAATAAATGAACCTTAAAAAAATAAATTCTGGATGGCTTGAGGGTGGGGGGCTTTGTTCCTGGAAACCCAGCACTTAGGAGGCTTTCACCAAATACTCGTTAGATAAGTGTAGAAGTGAATAGACACCCTTACCTAAAAGGAATTTTGGTGAACGAGGAGATGCTTCAGAAAACCTACCTTACCGTATATATCAGAATATAAGCCCCCCCGCCCCTGAAACTGACCTGTGGGCCAAAACAAAGAGGTCTGGTCCATGTTTTCTGCCTCCAGCAGGAGTGGCTGACCCCTGAGGCTGTCCTTTCAACCATCAGGTTGATCTAGAAGGTGCTCTCTCAGCCTCAGTCTAGTCTCCAAAGAACAAGTAGCAGCCTTGGGACTGTCTTATAGAAAACGAAGAACTTCCACTGAGGAGCTGTAGCTACCTGAGGAATTGAACTTGACTCCTCCCTCTGCAACCGATTTTAGGCCCAGATTTTACACCCTCCCCTCTACTCTGTTCCCATAACCCTGGCTTTAGTTCAATTCCTCATCATTTCCTGCCCGAACTCCTGAATCACCAGGCTGACTTTTGGTCTCTTCCATCCCATGCCGTTCTCCATAGTGCTTCTGAGGTGAGTGTTCTATAGAATAGATCTTGTCCCTATTCCCTCTCTCTCCCTCACCTGTCAGTGTTCAGGGTCTATCTGCTCCCCCGCTGCTCCCTGGATAAAGGCTGAAATGCCCCCCCTGAGGCTCCCTAACCCTTTCCAGGTGAGTCCCTGCTTTCTGCCCATTTTCTGTTTCCCCAGGCCTTTCCCCTCTCCCCTCTTTCTTTTATGTCCAGACATACTAAGCTACAGGATGCTCCAGAGCAGGGCCCTCTCCCAAGTCCATGTTTCCATGCCCTCTAGAGAGTCATCCTTGTTTACCGCACCCGTCAATTGTTAGATACAAGGCGGTACCCAGATCTTTCCTCCACCATGGCAATAATCATATTGGATTGCAACAAGCTAATTGCTGCATTCATGCATCCAACTTCCATTCATTCATTCATTCTCTTTTTCAATGCTGTTTTAGTGTGCTTACCAGCCGCTCTTTGATGTTAGAGATACAGGTGCCCATAAATAAGCCAGGGAAAAAATTCCTGCTCTCATGGAATTTGTGTTGTAGCAGAAGAAAATGAACAATAAATATAGGAACAATTTGTTTTCCAATAAAAATGTGATACAAATCTTTGAAGGAAATAAATAGAGTGAAATATTGATTACCTAATGTTGCGGGTATATGAGTGGGAATCAGGGAAGTCTTCTCTGAGGGAGATGATAGTCGAGTAGAGTCCAGAAGCATAGTGAGAGGAAAACTATACACCGAACTGGGGAGATGGATTATGAGTCCCCAGGGAAGGCCTGAGCCTGGCATGCTGGAGGAAGGAGAGAGGCCACTCTCCCTGGAGCACGGCATGAGCCCCCAATAGACGGTGTGTTCCTTGAGACCCTGGGCAGAATCTCATACCTTACCATAATCATAGGCTCTAGGCTGGTACCCAAGATGTTAGTAAGTATTTGAATCAATAAGTATGATGTTGAACTTATATTTTCTTTGGTATTTCCCAACAAAAGCTAAAAAGGTCTTACATTTTTTATAGCTTTTATCCTAGGAACCATAGTGAAATATTCTTTTCCCCCCAGCTTTATTGAGATATAATTGACATATAATATTGTATAAATTCAAGATGTACAACATGATGATCTGATCTATCAATCCATGGTGAAATGATGACCACAACAAGGTTAGTTAACATATCCACCACCTTATATAGTTATCTTCTTTTTTTTTCCTACCCAGCTAGCAAATTTCAAGGATACAATACAATATTGTTAACTGTAGTCACCATGCTGTGCATTAGATCCTCAGAACTTACTCATCTTATAATTGAAAGTTCGTGTGCCTTTGACCAACATCTTCCCATTTCCCCCCCAACGTTCAACAACTACCATTCTGCTGTTTCTAAGAGTTTAACTTTTTAAAATTCCATGTATGAAGAGTACTTTTTAAAATTCCACATATATTAGAGTAATTCAGGAGAAATTCCCATTGAGAATCAAGGAGAAAAAGTAATTCTTGAGGAACAAGTCTTAAGACTCTTCCAGGAAGATGCTCAGTGGGGGGAAAATTCTTTTTTTTTTTTTTAAGATTTTATTTATTTATTTGAGAGAGAGAGAATGAGAGATAGCGCGAGAGGGAAGAGGGTCAGAGGGAGAAGCAGACTCCCTGCTGAGCAGGGAGCCCGATGCGGGACTCGATCCCGGGACTCCAGGATCATGACCTGAGCCGAAGGCAGTCGCTTAACCAACTGAGCCACCCAGGTGCCCGGGAAAATTCTTTAAAATAAAAAATCACAGAATCGGAGGGGGAAGTTGGTTTCTCTTAGAAAAATTTCCTTCAGGAAATAAAAATATTGGCTGCTGAGGAAATTAAGGAATAAGCAAGCCGCAAATATTCAAGACCTTGTGAAGCTGGGGGGGGGAGGTGGTGGGACTAGGGACTTCCCATGAATTTCTATGTAGTAGTGAGTGATGATACAAAATTAATATCTGAATATGGAAAGATCACAAGGATTTTGATTGATTAGAAGACAAAAAGGATGTGGTTAAGAGATAATAGAGTCAATTTTTTTTTTTTTAATTCACATACTTCACAACGCTTTGTTTGTTTTAGATCTTTAGGGGCCAAGGGCTTTCCTCATCATTCCCAGGAGGTTTTTGTTTGCTTGTTCCTGTATTTTGGCAATGCATCTATTTATATTGATAAGAAGAACTATCTAACTAGCCAGGTGAGTAACATGCATTTTAACCCCAGGGTGATTTGTTTTTTTGAAGATTTATTTATTTATTTAACAGAGAGATAGAAAGAGAGCACGGGTAGGCAGAGCAGCAGGCAGAGGGAGAGGGAGAAGCCGGCTCTCCGCCGAGCAGGGAGCCCGACCCCAAGACCCTGGGATCATGACCCAAGCAGAAGGTGGCGGCTTAACCGACTGAGCCACCCAGGTGCCCCCCGCCCCCCAGGGTGATTTTATCCCCTAGTTGTGTAGTACTAGACCAGGTATTAATCTTCTCTAAAATGAAAACCAACATAGAACAGAGTCCAGAAAAGAAACCACAAACAACTCCCAAGAATGAGACCAATAATGGCTAACTCAACGGCTGAATAATGTGCTATTTTAAAAAGACGAATTTCTTCACAACGAATTCATGAAAATAAACTTATCCGACACCAAGATTATGAAACATTTCTTTAGATGGAAGATGTAGCTTTTTTGGAGTATAAGCGCACCTAGAGTCCCAGCTTGAGTCTAAGAAACTTTAGACTTTGGAGGGGAGGGAAGAATGAGTTCGATGAGGTGGTTAGCACTTAGATTTCACTCCAGGCCCAAGCCCCACTGGAACTTTATCCGAGCTACACACACACACACACACACACACACACACACACACACACACACACACA